AAGCGCTCTAACTCTGAGCCACCTTCCCAGCCCGAATAATAGTACTTTGAAGTAAACATGACACCACAGAAGGCTGGAGAGTTACTATACAACTTAAAATTGACATCACCATCACATAACTTTTTTCACTCCTAATCAGACCGAGAATTTAAAGCTCTTCCCATAATTTATACCTAAATCCTGATAAAGTCACACATTTTCTACCTAACTACCAATAAAATCATTTAAGACTCAAGTCTAAAGGATTAAGGGATTGTATATTCTACTTACCTATCATTTTTTTAAAGTTACTTAGTAAGAGGCAAAGAAATTCAAAGTCAATTTATAGAGACTTCACCAACAAGAATCTTCTTTTAGGTTTAAGATATAATGACTAAACACTTAGAGATAAACCAAGCCCTTTGTTCCCCTTCCTTCTCAATTGATAAATCAGCTAGAAAGTCAAAAGTAGAGATAATTTTAACGTACATATGAGCAATATTTCATAAAGGCTAACTAAATATTCTTAATTTAAGCTCTCTGATGTTTGGAGTGGAGTACCTCTCAGTGGGTTCAGAAGAGCTCACAGGGCTCACCTGTGCTAGGACTTGGTAGAAGAGACTAATGAACACAAGAGATAATTGTGAACAAAAGAATAGGAGAAGCAAGCTTGAAGAAAAGTAGTGGAGTAAACTACAAATAAGATACAACATGGAAAATAAACACTGGGAATACTGACACAACAGGTATCAAAGCTTTTTAATGGTAGTCTTCAACCACTTAACCTTCCCCATTTCTTTGTCAAACCCACTCCAGTGGATGTCAATCTCCATGCCAATGGATATGTCACTTTATTTTCCAATGTTCTACCCTTTCCTATGCCCCGCTTTTGCTCATGCTATAACCTGTTTAATCTTGCTAATAAAGCATATGAATGCTTTATGGGTACATTTGCACTAGTAGGCTAGTTGTCCCAAAGACCAAATGAGATCATGTATGTGAAAGAGTTCAGAAACAGACAGTATTAGATAAACAAATATTATTTGTGGCATTTGTGGCAGTCTCTCTATATCATTATACCTCATGATTGGGTCTGGTAAGTCATAATTACTGAGTGCTTGTTGTATAAACCAGTGGGTTTAAATGATAACAAATATTTGGGAAAACTGAGTCCTGATGTAAGCTCCCTTAGGCCTTGTTAGTGACTATCTGCCAATCACTCACCTGATAACAGTGACTCTAAACCACTTTGGGATGAGTGTCACTGCTCCTAACCCCCCAACCTCTGCCATAATGTGCAGAATGTTATTTTGGGAATCTGGTATTCCAACATAAAAAAAGAAATGTGTCTTTTTAGGTTTTATAGTTTAGTTTACATAGTATCACGTAAATAAAAAAGAAAAACAATCTTATTACTCTTACATGGGTTTAGACACAACACTAAAGCAGCATCAGTTAAAACAATACTTTAATCCCAAGTGTGTAATGAAAAAAAAAGCTGTATTTTTTTTTGCTTTCAAAAAGGAAATACACACTGAAATAGAAACCAAAGTCCAGTTTTGTGTTTCAGTAAAATTTCCTGGCTTGTAGCTAACAGCCATTTAGCCAGTGTTACTATTTGAACAAGATTTTTACTAAGCAGGAACTGTGCAAAGCTGTGTGCCCCAGTCACTGACATGTCACCGGACCATAACTGCATATATGAATTCTCTTCTTTCAACACACTAGCTTTTGATTTTTTGTTGTTGTTGTTGGTCATGGGGCTTGAACTCTGGGCCTGGGTGCTGTCCCTCAGCTCTTCAGCTCAAGGCTAGCGCTCTACCACTTGAGCCACAGAGCCACTTCCGGTTTTCAAGCGGTTTATTGGAGATAAGAATCTCACGGAGTTTCCTGCCCAGGCTGGCTTTGAACCTCGATCCTTAGATTGCAGGTGTGAGCCACCAGCACTCGGCAACACACTGGCTTTTAACTACTGTTTTATTTTAACTGAATATTTTCTGCAAACCCAACATCATATCCATAAAACAAGACATTTTCAAGAATGTGGTGTCGTTTTTCTCCTCATCCATCTTCACTAACAGAGGAAAAACCGAGCAATGCATGCACATATGCACAAACACTCTTCCTAACAAGGGTCATCACAAAATAATTTTTGAAGTTATAAACCTTAGGACAGTTCCCTGGCAGAATTCTTAATTTATAATAATTTTCACTAGGTTAAGTTCCACAAACCTTAGGACAGTTCCCTGGCAGAATTTTTTTTTTGGGGGGGGGAGTCCGGTCGTTGGGCCTGAATTCTGAGTCTGGGCGCTGTCCCTCAGCTATTCAGCTCAAGGCTAACGCTCTACCACTTGAGCCACAGCACCACTTCCAACCTTTTTTTTCCTTTTTGCTTATGTGGTGCTGAAGAATCGAACCCAGGGCCTCATGCATGCCAGCACTCTACCACTGAGCCAACTTCCCAGCCCCTGGCAGAATTCTTAATTTATAATAATTTTCACTAGGTTAAGTTCAACAACACATTCTTGTTGTGTTGTATACACACCTCTATATAAGTCCTTTGTACTCTTTAACAGATTCCAAAAAATTGAACAGTATTCTGAATGACTAAGAGCCTGTTGGATATCTAAAACAAAATATGTCAGAGATACTACAGTCAATTTAAAGAAAGAGGAAGAAAGGGCACCCCCACACAACAACATTCCTCTACAAAATCCCCACAACTAATCAACCAGCCAGTCAAGTGAAATCCTTATTATCTCCATAAATGTCTTCTAACATTCCCTTTTCTTTTGTTTGTTGTGGTAAAGAGAACAAGAAACTTAAACTCAGAAAGACTCGGACTCCAATTTTAGTACAGTCATTTATTAACAATGACAAGCACTGAATCTCTCTGAGGCCTATTTGTTTCATCCATAAAACAGTATCTGTTCTCTTTCATGCCTGCTGCAGAGAGCTGATAGTATAGTGGAATAAAATACTGCGCTACATGATTTAGGTACAGAACTAGAAGTTGGCTTCAGACCAGAGCCAGGAATTTAATTTAATCTGTTAATATACTGTAGTCTCAGGTGTTGCCACAGCTACACATGCATACACACACACACACACACACACTTTTTGGTGGTTAACTGGTGGTCTCACAGGATTTCCTGCCAAGGCAGGCTTCAAACTGCAATCCTCAGCTCTGTGCCTCCTTAGTAGCTGGGTTTACAGGCATAAACCAGTGATGCCCTACTATATTTATATTTATACTTATATTTAGGATTCTGATCTCTAGGTTTCTTCTTTGTTTAGAAAGAGCTAATAAAATATATTGATATTATTCTTAAACCAACTACAAAACAAAATTCAACTCCTCATCCCCACCTCCTTCCCAGATATCAGCACTTGAACTCAGAGTATCGGTTTCCTCCCTCCTCCTCCTCTTCTTCCTCCTCCCCCTTCCCCTCTCTTCTTTTTTTGTTGGTCATAGGGCTTGAACTCCAGGTTTGGACACTGTCCCTCAGCTCTTCAGCTCAAGACAAGTGCTCTAACACTTGAGCCACAGTACCACTTTCGGTTTTCTGGTGGTTAATTGGGGATAAGAGTCTCATAAACTTTCCTGTAGCTGGCTTTGAACTGTAATCTTCAGATCTCAGCCTCCTGAGTAGCTAGGATTACAGGCGGGAGCCACCAGCACCTGTCCAGAGCATCAGTTTCTTGCCCTGATGGTTTCCGCAACTCTAGGCTGGCTTTTTGCTGGTGAGGACTGTTCTGTCCAGGCTGGCTTTGAACCATGATTCTCTAAGTCTTAGCTGCCCAAGGAGCTAGGATTACAAGCATGAGCCACTAGTGCCTAGCTCAAGTTCTCTTCTTCAGTTAATTGCTTGGGAACAAATACTAAGAGCCTAATGCAGAACAAGAAGGACTACAATAAAGACTGAAATAGGTTTTAAGGACTATAAACTTTTTAAAAAGCATATTTGAAAACATTAGTCACTTTTAATCTAATAACAGTTCCAGCTCAGACACATTCTTTAGAAAAAACAAATGTTAAGACAAGGAATGACAAGTTCATTAATAAAGTAACTTAGACATTCATCTTTTCAAGAATACAATAAAACCATAATATTATGTTTATTTCAATGTTCCAGCAGGCAGCCCTGAAAGGACAAAGTCATGTTTCGAAGCAATGATTAGAATGCAAACACTCACTGAAAACCAAATTTGTGCACATTAATCTTTACACACAAAAACACATATAGTGGCTGTGTGTGTAATTTTTTGAAGTAATGCCTACTTCAGTGATGATAAAATTATATTACCATTTGCAACCTATAATGAACCAATGGATCTCAGATTAGTTATTAATAACTAACATCACCAAAACAGACCAATTCTATCTTATATAGACCACCAATCTTAAATTTATAGAAAAATGGTGAGTGAAAACTTGAACTGAATCTGAACATGATCAACCTAGAGCTAACTAGACATCCCTATTGTATGACATGAGAATCCAGTACAGTGAAGCTGGAGAGTTGCATTCTTGGGATAAATGCTGTTAATGTCAAAGCGCTGAAGCAATGCAGACTTAATTCTCACAGACCTGTGTCGGTTTGACCTCCAGTACAAGGGCTGGCCTTTATATCATTTGACTCAGGGTTCCACCGCTGCGGCACCCTCCCAATAGAAGCCTGGGGCCAGGGATCGTCAAATAAGCAACAAGCAGGCTGGGAAGCTGGTGCAGCCAGAGGTTTAGGAGGAGGTAAACAGGGGCAGTGAGACCTTTAAGAAGCTCCCCTGACACCAGCATAACAGAGAAGACCACAGTCATAGCCAGAAAGGCTCGAAAACCGCTTACCTTTTACCTCAGGCTCTATCTAAATAAGCAGGAGGTGAAGATGGAGCAGAGCACAGTGTAAGTGACCTGTGGGCTTAAATGGGAGCCTCACATTAGAGCTAATCAGCAAAACTAGGAGATTTCCTTCCTTCCTTTTTTTTTGGGGGGGGAGGAGGAGAGGGCAAAGTTGTTTAAGAACTCTGTCAAATGACACCTCACAAGTGAAGGAAGGGGTGACACTGACCAAGCATTGTACTCATAACCTGACTTACGGAATTATAACCTCTGTACAACTACTTAATAAGGATAGTGAAAACAATAGCTCACCACTAATCTAACGGAACACAGACTCCAGTGTCCATACACAACAATGAATGCACAGCTCTTATTAAAATACTTTGAAAAAAAAGAAAAACATTTTGAAAAAGTCACTAAGCAAACAACATTCCACAAGAAAAACAACAAATCTATAGAAGAGAGGATAATCTGATTTAAACTGTTCGATTTTCAACAAAATTTATGAGACATGCATACAAATATGTCCATTCACAGAAAAAATAAATTAACAAATTATTCTAGAGGAAGCAAAGGTTTTGGATATAAATCAATTATTTTAAATAAAACCATGGAGTCAGTCAGGTGTCAGTGGCTCATGTCTGTAATTTTAACTACCCAGGAAGCTGAGATCTGAGGCTCAAAGTTTAGAGCCTGACAAGGCAGAAAAGTCCATGAGACTGGAAGTGGAGTGGGGCTAAAGTGGTAGGTGAAGACAGACCTGGATCATGTATGACCTGAGATGCCAGCCATACTTGAAGACAAAATTTGTCTAAATGCTTCATTAAAATAGTAAAGTCAGTATGTAACCCCTCTGTATATCACCTTCATAATATTTTTTAAAGTTCATTTGGCTATCATCAAATGTTTAAGTTCTAGAAGCTGTTATTCCCAGTTAACCAAAACCAGCCCATTGAATTGAGTGAAAAGGCTAAGGGACAGTCTTGAGTGAAAAGGCCCAGGTCTTGAGTTCAAACCTCAGTTCTGGCACAGTAAATACATACATATTTACATACACAAATAAATCAAACCATGAACAACTAAAGAAAATGGGAGAACAAAATATCACCAAATAAAAGAGAAATAGCAACAAAGAGAAAGACTTATAAAAAGAAACCTACAGAACTGAAAAATTCAACAACTGACACGAACAGTTTAATAGCAGAACTGAGCAGATATACTGAGGCCTGGCTGTAATAATCTCAGTACTTGGAAGGCATGTTGACATCAGGACCAGCTTGGGCTACATAGTAAGGTGCCAGTGACTGTGCTGAAGACAAAGAACAAAGGGAAAACGACAGTGATGACAAAGAATAATAACCTCTGAATCTAAAGATAGGACAAATGAAGCTATAATGAGAAGCAGAAAGAAAAAAATGAAAAGGAAGAGAGCCTAAGGTATCTTTGGGAAACCATCAAACTTACTGATATCCACCTGCTGGGAGTCTCGAAGAGAAGGGTGAGGGTCCAGAAATAATGACCCCAAACTTCTAAATTCTGATAAAAGACAAGTTAAACGCCAACAGCATAGACTTAGTGAACAAGCAGGTTTCTAGCAGAAAACAGCTAATAAATAATAAGTGTGATGAACGAATCTATTACTAAGTGGTGAAGTTCAAAGGAGAAGAAAAAGGAGATCAAGGTAAGGGATTCTGAAGAGTCAGCAGAGGAGGGTGGACTGCAGTATTCATTAGTGGGCTGGGTAGGCATCAATGAGAAGGTGACATTTAAACAAGACAAGAGAAGGTTGAGGAAGTAAGCCAAATGCTTACCTTAAGGTAGACAAAACAGCTCCTGAAAGGCCTTACAGGGCACGTTTGGCGAGCAGCAGGAAAGCCAGTAGTTTAAGTGCAGTGAAGAAGGGCAAAGAAGTCAAAGACAAGGTCTGCATGCATATTAGAAGAGTATGAGTAGAGGGGGTGGAATGTGGCAGAGTGGTAGAGTGCTTTCCTAGAATGCACGAAATGCTAGGTTTGATTCCTCAGTACCACATAAAAGAAAAGGCTGGAAGTGGCACTATGGCTCAAGTGGTAGATAGAGTACTAGCCTTGAGCAAAAAGAAGCTTAGGGACAGTGCCCAGGCCCTGAGTTCAAACCTCACAACTGGCAAAAAAAAAAAAAGAAAGTAAAAGAAAAAGAGAAAAAAAGAGTATGAGTAGAGTCAGAAAAGACTGTAAAATACAGAACCAGAATTAGGTGCCTTGTAAGCCAAGAAAAGATTTGGTTTTAAGGAGAAATGTTTAGTCAATAGTGCTGAACATTGTACATAACTATCAGTTATTAGGTTTCTAAGAATGAAGTTATAAGAGTCACTTTTAGTCTACCAAAAGTGTATTTCCTTCTTAATAAACTTTCTATTACATTTACTGCAATTCAAAGAGTTATAGGTCATTTTCTCCTTAGAGATGAATAATTTTCAATCTATTGAAAGTATGTATGTCTGTAAAACTACAAATGATAAAGCTTTATTAAAGGCTAACTTTACAAAATTCTAACCAATATAGCCAAGCCTAGATCAATGTAATGCCTAACTGTGCTATACACGTGGGAATCTCCTGCCCTCTTGTTCCTCTGGATTCAACATGATGATCTTTTGGAGATCCAGGGGGCCCTGGATCATGCATGACCTCAGATGCCAGCCATACTTGAAGACAGAATTTGTCTAAATGCTTCATTAAAACAGTAAAGTCAGTATGTAATTGTAACCCCTCTGTACATCACCTTCATAATATTTTTTTTACAGTTCATTTGGCTAACATCAACTCTTTAGGTTTTAGAAACGGTTATTCCCAACTAACCAAAATCAACCCATTGAGTTCAAAGCGGTACGAAACAGCTGCCCTGAAAACTTGAACCCAGTGAAACACTGTGAGGTTCACACTCACTCAAGCTGAGCGAATTTGTAAGAGTTCATTCAGCTAACATCAACCATTTAGGATTTAGAAGCTGATATTCCCAGTTAGCTCTGGGCACTGGGCACTGGAGGCTCACATCTGTAATCCTACCTACTCAGGAGGTCAAGATCCAAGTCCAAAGCCAGTTTGGGCAGTGAAATTCCTGAGATTCTTTTTTTTTTTAATTTTTTTTTTTTGGGGTCTGGTCGTGGGGCCTGAACTCTGGGCCTGGGCACTGTCCCTCAGTTCTTCAGCTCAAGGCTAGCACTCTACCACTTGAGCCGCAGCGCCACTTCCAGCTTTTTTCTTTTTGCTTATGTGGTGCTGAGGAATTGAACCCAGGGCCTCATGCATGCAAGGCAAGCGCTCTACCA